TCTGAAAATGTTGCACCTTATCTGTAAGCAAACGGCAAAAACGGTAATGGTTAAAACAGCTTTCTACTAAACGAGAGGGAAGTTCTTACAAGATACACGAATCCCTCTGAAGCTTCAGTAATGGCTTTCATACGGATTGTTGGAGTAGTCGGTGTTGTAAGCAATACCTAAACAAAAACGAAAATTCAATTTTTGAAATGGGAAACTAGGATAAAGCAAATATGTTTTCATTGAGGAAAAATTGTACAGGTGAATGATCAAATGCTATGCTCAATCCAAACAAGAGGAAAAATTCCGCAATATCACCAAGCATTCACATCAAGGTCACCAAAGAAGAATAACACAAAGAAATTCGAATAAAAACAAGAGAAGACAAAACAATGAAACAAAATTGATAACCTCTTCTAATGGAGGAACCTGCAGAAATTGTTCCTTTTGATAAATCATCAATATAGATATAGGAGTCCACCCTCTACCAACAAAGAAATTCATTGTCCACCATTTCCAAGCACTCCATGACTCATGCAACATAAATAATAGCCTCATAATTTGATTGAAAGAGTCATATCTATCAAACTTCAAAGACATCCGTTGCATTCACCCAGATGGCAAAAATGTTCTTTTCTAGTAAGTGATAGCATGCGATTGTCCTATACACATGTTAAGCATGAGCAAATCACATAAAGGCAATTACTCGTGACTCAGAGTGGACTATGGACCAAGTAAATTTGCTATGTAATCACGAAGCAGATATATCACGTGAAACTAACTGCACATCTAAGGACTGAGGTAAAGGATTTGTTTATTTTTAAACAGACAAATGAAGAAAATTATGTGTCGAGACCTTGGGGCATCTCATGAGAGTTGGAAATTGCGATAGATATTTGGCACAAAGACTAACCAATTCAATATTATGCCTAGCAGCTTCCTTTCTTAAAATTTCAGTTTCCTCAAGAGGGACATCTGGAACAACAAGTCCTGAAAAGACACAGAATTATCATAGTGAGACATATAACAAGTCGGAACGAAGAAAACATAAGACTTGGTCAGTGGCGTGAAAGAAGACTGCATTATCAGCACCATGTTGGATAATGCAACAACTAAAATAAAGAAAACTCATTCACTGCAAATCTTCAATTATTTCCAGGAAATAGCTAATATGCACCCACACAAACCAATCAACACTTGTTTGGAACTAAGGTGTAGTTGTTGTTGTACAAACCAATCAACATTTATTTAAGGTATAAGTCATCTCCACCAACAAATGTTATAGACAGAGATGGTGGAACAAAACTAAGATGGGAAATTCCAATTACCATGCAAAATAGCAGAAAGATTGCATCAACCACAGGTTGTTTTCAGCTTCTTTTTCTATCTGTAAAACTTTATGCTTTTACTCACAATGCGTCTATACTGCAGTTTTTGTAAGATGTACAAAGTTGGATGACAAAATGCTTTTCTTTAGGAAATTGAAAGAAGACTTTTACATAGTTTAATCGTTTTAGTGCAAATATTTCTTTAGATAAAGTAGTTAATATTTTTATTGATTTGCGGAAGTAAACCCTTATGTATACCAAAAGTAGAGAATCTCCACCTCAAAAAAAGTTTGATACCTTATAGATCTCAACCAGCCAATACTAACTGTGACCTCATGCGTACACCAAAAATTCACTCGTCTTAGTGCAAATATATAACATAGAAAGGAAAAGGAAGAAAGAAAAGCCTGCGATAAGACATGCCTCATTATCAGAAGTTCAAAACTAATCAGTAACTGGTGGGGGGAAAAGGAACCCAAAATTAAAACACTAGCTTTAAATTTGCAAAAATATTAGGGCTTAACCTGTTATAAGTTGCTAAATGATTGGTAGTCATCAATTCATCCAAAACATCTTCTCATTTTAAACAATTCTCATAATGCCAGGACATCTAATAACAGAAGCACAAAAGATTTATCCCACTGCAGAAGAAAGTTATACAGAAATAGTCACTAGTTCCCAGGAATCATCCATATGCTAGATGATCTAGTCCATCTCCCTTTGTAGTTTAGCAATCTCTGCTAAACTCATGCAGGTTATGCTTTGTGACAAAATATTAATCCAGCCTTCATGAGATAAGTTGAACTACAAAACGTTAGTGGACCAAGGGAATGACATAAAGCTATCTAATCCTAAGACCAAATTCACATCAGTGGTAGTTCAAAATAAAGGTATACATGAAGAATCATTGGATATTTCATGTTATTTGGGGCATATCATATAGGAACAGTCATTCTCACACTAGAAACTCTTTTTAAGTCAAATAATTCACTAATAAACATCAACTCGGTGTCAAAAATATACTAAGCTATATAAGTGGCTTCAACCAAATCATCCACTCGTCTATTAAACTTGTCCAACTATCACTTCTCACACTAATAATTTAACATCGCAAAACTAAAGATTACCATGTACACCAGCATCTCTCACAGTGGCCATGAACCTTTCAGTACCGCGTTTAAGTATTGGATTATAATATGTGAACAAGGCAATTGGACAGGACAACTGAGGCACAACCTGTCACATATTGAGAAATAATTTTAGATTTCATAAAAGATATTTGACAAAATATGCCAGAATAAACAAAGTGACTGGAGGAAGCAGACAAAAAGCTTCATAGTAATAAAGTAATTTTCAGCAAGGCCTGTTTGTATCTACAATTGCACTAGATAGTTAACAGGGAGCTTTACTGCTTGTCAATATGTAATTAGAAATTCGGGGCTATGGGGTTTACATCTTTTAACATTGATAAGACTTTGGCGAAATTGGTCCCTCTACTCAGTGATCTTGTAGCAGCAGCCTGAGAAAACAGATAAGCAAAGAAGAATGAGGATATAAAAGAGGTAAAGGACAAAATATAGGACTAAAATGCACTAATCACTTCATCAAAACCTGGATGACTGGACCATCAGCCAACGGATCAGAGTAAGGTACTCCTAGTTCTATGATATCCGAACCACATCGATCAAGCACTTTCAGTGCTTCTGCAGTTGTTGACATGTCAGGATCCCCAGCAGTGATGTATGGAATTAATGCCACCTTTGCAACAGAAAGGTTGAGTTTCAATTCAAAAGCAGAGATAATAAGTAGAAATACTTTTCGATGGTAAAGCAGCTCCAGATTTTGACAGAAAAGTTATGAAAGAAGACATCTTTCTACCCTTGACAACTACCCACCAAAGTAACAAACCATTTTGACTATCTTACACAAGATCAGTGTACATAAAAATAAAAACTTTCTGTGGTTTTTTTTTCTTTTCAATTGAATCAATGTTCAAAACAGAAATTCAATTAAAGCAAGTGAAAATTCTCTAACACAAAAGTCAGAATAGTCAGTAAGAATCTTCTTTTTGGGGGATAAGCTGCTGACTGCTGTACATTTATCACTAATTTTCATAGTTTGCATAGGAGCTAAAGACAAAATTCCTCACTAGAAACTACATCCCACACACCTAAGTATCAAATCCAAGATTTTCTTGGAAACCCAATTAAAGAAAATCGCCATGTTTTCAACCAATGCCCAACTCTAATTAATTCAAGAACGTAAGCAAATAAGAATACAAATAAGAATTACACAAAAGGAAACACAACCCACAAAAAAAGTTCCTTTTTTTGGGGAAGAAGAAGAATGAGGAGGCGGAAAGACATACTTTGCCTTGTTGCTTCAATCGAGTGAAAGTCTCAGAAAGTCCAACAGTTGGTGTGGTGCTGAGGGCAGCCATGGGAGGTTTGACCGAAGTTGAAATCTTAAGTCTTTGGGTATTATTATAGGAATGAGGAAACGCGTGATTTTCAAGCTTGTTATTGGAGTGAATGAAGTGGGTTGCTTTTAGAAAAGATGCCATAACATCAGGACTTTTAACTTTCTGCTAATGAAGACGAGGAGATATAGCGGCAACGCACGGCGGGGTATAAGTACAGCCTACTGTAAGAATGAAGTGACTGGATTTGGGAAAAGTTTTAGATGCGGGTAAGGCAAAAAAGAGTATTTACACTTAAGCCACCTATTTTTGGTGTAATTGCAGTTGGGGTTGTAATTTGGTTCCACTATTGCATCATTGTGGGATTTGTCAATTCCACCACACCTAATGGCTAATAAGATTCAAAAATTGAGAATATTATCTCAAGTAAATTGATCGTAATCATTGGAGAGTTAGAAAGTAATTTTTGTTGTAATTGAATCAAAATTTATTAGTAATCCAAAGTTGTCTAGAATTTAGTATTTGTTAGTTTCTTTAATTCACGTCTAATAAGGTTTTGTAGTGAAAATCATATAGGAATAGGTTTTCTAATTTTTAGTCAAATTTGATTGGTTGAGAGGTAGTCATGATATATGGTGAAATTATTGAGCTTATGAGCAATGAAAAACCTTCCTTCCTCTTTTACTCTTTTGTTTTCAAGTGTTCTTCTGAATAGTCATTGTTGAATATCTTACTAGTACCTAAATTATTCTTTTGGGTATGTTTTTTATTAATCCTTCAAATTTCGCACTTCATTTTTTTATGATCATTTTGACAGGGAAAGTGATTTTTCAAAGTCAATACAGTTGCTGTTTAGTGTATAATCTTAAGACTTTGATGGAAAAGTTAATATAATGAAAATGATGGCAAGAATAATCGGGTCAATCAATGTGGGTTAAATGTCTATTTCAAAGACATTTTTGTATCCTCTCCTCGTACAAGTAGGTCCGAAGCTGAGTGATAAATATGAGACAAATGGGAACATGATATAAGAGTAACTTTTAAAAATACAGTAGTCGCACGATCCATTAATAGTTTGGTAGATGTGAACAACATTTGGTTGAAATTGAACGTATAGCTAAGTTTTCCAATTTTGGTCCTTTGATGATTAATTACATTTCCCTTAGGGGACATTGCCATAAAATTGGTAAATTACATTAGTTACACCACGAAGTCCTGAAGCTCAACATCCGTGACACTAGTCGTAAGGGATAACACTGCTTAACTAGATCAACAGTATTCGGCCAACTATATTGCAAAGTAGTACATTTGGAACTGTATACTACGGCCTTGCCGCATTTTAAAACGAAATTTAGAAATCATTACAAATATGCAGAACTCCAGTATCAAAGTCCACTGACATTTCTTATTTGTATATGTTATCATGTCAAACAATATGACTTTGATGCCTGGTGGCAACGCGGATCTTATGTTGTTTAGATGCCCATGATATCTAAACAGACTAGGTACAAGACTCAAAAACCACAGTTAGAGATATACTCGAATTGGGGTTAAATTATCCATCTTTCCACGGAATCTTTCATCCACAGCTGACATGCTCACTTGGCATGAAGCTGATCTCTGCCTTCTAATGCGCAAATCTTCTTTAAATGTACCTGGAATAAGAGCATATACATATCAAAGATCATAGCTATAAGTTCATTTTTCACATAACTGCAAAGAGATAGCGCACATAAAATTTGATTACCGTGAAATTATGAGGGCTGCCATGTTTAGCCCAACAAATAAACTGAACCATATGCATGTGCTCGTGATTCAAGAATAAAAGGTAATCAATAAGCGGACCAAAGGAAGTACATCTTACCTCTTCAGTCACTTTTTAATTGGTTTTGTGGCTGTGAGAAAAACTCTTTGGCATTATTTGCGACTTCTGCCTCCAATATCGCTTCTAACACAATGTCAGACCCCTTTGCTTCATCTTTTGGGGGGAAAAAACAATTAACACAACAAAGGGAGATAAATCTCAATAAACCATAAAACAAACTGTTGTATGCGCACAGGGCATAGATAGGAGATTGGAGTTGATTCTCAAAAAATATCCACTCTTCGTGTTGCAGCTATGAAGCATGTAAATATTTAAACCTATTTTGTCATAGAGCCCATCTGGATCTACAAGGTGCTTCTTGGTTAGTGAGTTTTGGGAGGGGAATTGCAAGCCTGAGTCTTTTAAATCTTTCTAGGAAATCCAATATCATGTTAGTGCAGGATAAGATTGTCATAACTAGCATAGGCAAAAACGCAAGTTCATTTCTTTTCATCTGTCTAAGCCTCAGTGGGTAGAGTAACTGGGTACCTATGCTGCTAGGAATAGCAGGTACCTGGTGAAATATTCGAGGTACCGACAAGCTGGTCTTGACACCACCATTATAATTAAAAAAAAGATCAGATTGTCGTATAAATGACTCCTGCCGCCTATCACCATCACATAAATAGAACATGATTCTTGATCCAGGAACGCCCATTAAAAAGGAATTCTATGTGCTGCTATACCGGGCACCTATGCTGCTAGAAAATAGCAGGTACCCGGTGGAATATTCGAGATACGGACAAGCTAGTCTTGAAACCACCATTATACAAAAAAAAAAAAAAAAAAAAAAGGAAGAAGATTAGATTGTCATATAAATGACACCTGCCACCCTATCACCATCATATAAAGAGAACATGATTCTTGATGCAGGAACGCCCGTTTAAATGGAATTCTATGTGCTTTCAGCTAATTCTAATCACAATAACTTCAACTTTTTGGTAATGAGCTAATTTAGTTCTCCTAATAATGGAGTTGGACATTTTTTTTGTTGATACAAGGATAATAATGGAGTTGGCTAATTAAACACAAAAAAGACTTAATCTGCTAGTTTGAACCACACCTAATCTCCTTCGCTTGAGACCTCCTCACTTTAGCAACAGCAAGTGCTATCCTACCCTTTATAATCAAGCAAAGCAAGGTTACAAGACTTGACAAAGGATTCTGCAGAGATCCTGTCCTGAACCTTTAGAAATGCACACAATTTTGCAAGGTCGAATGGTAAGTACATAATTACCAAACAGCAGAAAACTATTTTGTATGCACAATAATAGGACCACTGGACTTACTGAAAAAGAGACATGAGGCAATCAGAATCCCCGAAATGATTCCTTACCTTTACGTTTTGGCAACAACCCTGCACTCTCTGCTGAGACAGGGAGCACAATAATACTGCCAGATTCATCAGTCAGTTCACTCAGACCTTCCTTATCTACAGAAATGGCTTCCAAAGGTGTCGTTTCAGCCAATCTAGCATAAGCAGCGGCTTGGCTGTGCATATCAGTCAAAGCTTTCCTTGAACTATGATCCTGATAATTATTATTCACATAAGTCTTTCCATTTGAAAAGAAAGGAAAAGATGATGAAAATAATTGTGAGAGAAACAACAAAAACCTCAGGTGTGATAGTTGCTACAATGCTCTCTTTCTCGGATATTTGAGGTCCCTTTTTAACTATGGTGTTCTCTTCATCAGATTTTTGAGGTCCATTTTCAACTTTCTCACGACGAAGAATTTTTTGTCGGAGTCACAAAGAATAAGAATATTTTTCAGTAAAAAAAAAAAACTAAGAAATACCAGTGCCATTTGCAGCTGTTGTGTTGATGCTGTCTACTAGCCTCGACGTCAATGGACCAGGATTCATAAACGAGATTTTTCGAATTTCATGACGTATGGCTTCCAGCTGAGCAATGGTATCTTGCAGTTCCTTATGCACCTGATAAACAACTCGAGATGAAACATAACAAGTCGTAACATTTCATTTCAAGCTATTATGCGATACAAAGCATAATTTAGCCAATCATCTTAAGAGCAATAACTAAGTCTATATTAGTCCTAGTCATAATACAAAACTCAGCTTTAAAAGAGAAAGCGAAAACTGCTATATAGACACGAAACACCTATCATTTTTCGCGAATTGAAATTTATGAAGCAGCACAGAAGTTTGAAACCTGGCGAGCTTGAGACTGCTGCATGACACTTTCAAATTGACCACGAGCCAATTGAACATAGAGCCCAGCAAATCTGCCTGCCGTTCTTGCTATGATTGGCAGATCTTTAGGTCCTAAAACACAATTTATTTTCTTAAAAGGTCAAACCATTATTCATCTGCAACGCGCTCGCCCACACACACACCACACATAATGAACTACATATTTCCCATTGAAATATGCACATATCAACAACCCCAGTGCAATTAAAAGCAATACTTCCCAAAATTATTACCACTTCGAAAGGTCAAATTTATGAAACTCTGCCATCAACTTATTTATAGAGTGTACATCAAACGAAAAGGGTCTGAATAAAGTGAAGTGGATATAGGACATTCATATAGCTGACTCTAACTAGTTTGGAATTGAAGCATAATTGATAGTTTGCATATAATTCGCAATCAAACTTAATTATTCAATGATAATTTTTAACCCAGTTTAATTAACATATACTATTGTATTTCAAAATTTATGGAATTTACATCAAATATTACCTTAATGGAAAAAAAAAAAGATAAAAAAGGGAGAGTACCAATAAGAGAAGCAGTAGCGCCAAGCAGGAGAAATAGCTCCCCATATGAAATTCCCAGCATCTTTTTTTTCTTTCTTATTTCAGTTTGTTTCTGTCACGTGTGTGAAGAGAACGGCAATAGAAGATTGTAAATCAAGGATCCATATCGGGAATTTGGTCGGAAAAGTCGCCTGAGAGTACACCGCCGGTGCGTCATTAGAACTTAGCCATGATACAGGGACACAGGCTGAGGGTAATGGGCCTTTTTTATGTGTAGCTGGGAACGAAGAAATGAAATTGAGGGATTTTCTTTTTTCTTTCTTCCAACGAAATTGGAAGGGATCAACTTTTTAATAAATTCACATTTTACTGATCAAAAGAGCCCTATATTTGCAACGGGACATAAGATCCACGCTTACTTCCAACACTTCATCATAATTAATTATTAATATATAGTACTAGTATCAGTTTATTTTTATCACCTAACCGTACTAAATTAAAATAATTGGGGTAACCACTAGTAAATGGAGTACTAGATATAACATAAACGTAATGATCTAATATTAATCAAAGGATTAGTGTTGTCAGCTAGGCTCGATGGTGTAACGACCCGGCTTATCGTTTTGAGTATTACAGCATTGTTCTCTTATTTACTGCTCAATTTATACTTTACAGTTATTATATAACTTGTCGGGGTAATTGGTTCGGGTCCAGTGAGCTTTTGAAATGAATTGAAACACTTAGTTACAAAGTTTAAAGCTTAAGTTAAAATAGTGATCGAATGTCGGCTTATGTGTAAACGACCCCGCAATAGAGTTTTGATGATTTCAATAGCTCCGTATGGTGATTTTGGACTTACGAGCATGTTCGGAAAATTATTTGGAAGCCCGTAAATAAATTAGGTTTGAAATGGCGAAAATAGAAATTTAAGTTTGAAAGTTTGACGAGGGAGTTGACTTTTTGATATCGGGGCCGGAATCCAATTTTGGAAATTAGAATAGGTATGTTATGTCATTTATGACTTGTGTGCAAAATTTGAGGTCAATCGAACTTGATTTGATAGGTTTCGGCATCGAATGTAGAAGTTGAGATTTCTTAGTTTCATTAAGCTTGAATTGGGGTATGATTCGTTGTTTGATGTGATTTGAGGCCTCGAATAAGTTCGTATAATATTTTAGGACTTGTTGGTATATTTGGCTGAGGTCCCGGATCAAATTCGGACTTAGAAGAAATCCGGAAAATTTATGTCTTCTGGTGTGATCGCACATGCGAGGAATTGGCCGCAGATGCGGCTCGTTTTATGCAGAAGCGGAGCTGGGCTGGCCTGGACAGGGCGTAGGTGCGAGGGGGTTAACCGCATCTGCGAGCGAGGCTCCGCAAATGCGGAGTTGAGGGAGAGGCACGTTCCGTAGGTGCGGGGGGATGGAGCCCAGAAGCGGCTCTGCATGTGCGGGAGATGGAGCGCGGGTGCGGAGTTTGGGAAACCAAGTGGCTTCCGCAGAAGCTGCAATTGCACCGCAGAAGCGGTTCCGCAGGTGCGGATAGGGGGTCTCAGGTGCGAAAAGCCTGGACAGAATGTTAAAAACAAGGTCCGCGATTTTGGCTTCATTTCTAACATTTCCAACACGGTTTTAGGGCGATTTTCAGAGGGAATTCGCGAAAAAACTTGAGGTAAGTCACTTGTGATCATTGTTAGTCAATAATATTGGATTATCATTGAGTATTTCGACTAGATTACGTGTTTTTAGGTGAAATTAGAGGATTTGGGCCTATGGATTTGAAAATGAGAATTGTGGATTTTAAGGTCGAGTTGTTGTCAGAATTTGGTAAATTTGGTATGGTTGGACTCGTGGTTGAAGGAGAGTTCATATTTTATAACTTTTGTCGGGTTCCGAGATGTGGGCCCCACTGGTATTTTTTTAAGTATAATTTTTGATTTTTGTGGGAAAATTAGTATTTTGATATGGAATTAATTCCTATAATTTTTGTTTACTGAATCAAATTAATTGTGACTAGATTCGAGCCGTTCGGATGTTGATACGCGCAAAATGGAATTTCTGGAGCATTGTTTAGCTTGCTCGACTTTGGATTCGACTTGTTCGAGGTAAGTAACTCTTCTAATCTTGGAGCTGATGGTATGAACCCTGGTTATACGTGTTATGTGTTTGGTGTTGAGGTGACGCACATGCTAGGTGACAAGCGTGTGGGCGTGCACCGTGAGAACTGTGACTCCGTTATTTTTGTGGTACTATGTAGTTACCTGAACTTATATGTAATCATAAAATTTCTACGTACTAGAGTTATCGAGCTGTGATTCATGTTAGAAACCATGTCTAGACTATATGTTTATCCTGTTGGGACCCACTGAGGTCATTATTGTTGTTGAGTTATTTGCTTATATTGCAATGTCATACTCAGTCATATTCATTCATTGCATATCCTATCTCAGTCTCTGTTGTTATTTATTAATACATCATATCATCATTGTCGGCTAGTTCATATCATTGTGAGCCCGAGAGACTGGAGAGGTTGATGACTGAGTGAGGCTGGGGGCCTGATTTTGATATATTGATACTATAGCACGTGAGTTATCCATGCAACATGTGAGTTGTCCGTGCGGATTTTAGCGCTTGGGCTGAAGGAGCCCCTCCGGAGTTTGCACACACCCCAGTGAGCGCGGTTGATTTATATTGAAGAATGAATCTTCCCTGGACATGGATCTTGTCCGAAGCATTTATACTTGGGAATGGATCTTCCCCACATGCTAGATTAGCCCTACTCAGTACTGAGAAACTGATGGTTAGTTAATGTATATATTCCGGGATGGATCTTCCCTGGACTAGATTGACCATATACAGTACTGAGTGATTGAGCATGATGAGTTGAAAGTGCGAGATAGTGAGGTTGAGTACTCTGAGAGTGTGAGTACATGAGTTCATCTCTGAGATACATTGCATTGACATGCACACATGACATACAAGCATAAAGATGTATCTTCCTCATGTTGTACGGTATCACATCATTCATGACTTCTCACACATATTGGCATATGGGCATAGTGATGCATTTTACACTGGCTATCTGGAAGGAAAATGAAACATCTTATTTATTGTTAAAAGGATTTTTGGGAAAATTACTGTTTTCAAACTTACTCATATTTTTGGCAACTTCGGTAAACGATTTGGGTTTTCACTGATATACTTGAAAGGCAGAACTATTTTCAGAAATCATGATTAAGCTGAGCATTTTATCTATGAGTTACTTCTTTTATTACTTGCTTTACGTTGTTATGAACTGTTGTTGGCTATTGGTGTTGGACCCGACCTTTGTTCCAGCTTGTCACTACTTTCAACCTAAGGTTAGGTTTGTTACTTATTGAGTACATGGGGTCGGTTGTACTCATACTACACTTATGCACCTTGCGTGCAAATATTGGATGTTAATATTGTTGTGATCGACGAGAGCTGTATTTGAAGATGTACATGTGTTCCGGTCATAGCTGCCTCTTTTTTATGGTAGCCTTAGATTTATAAAGATCTGTTTATGTACATTTCGAACAGATGTTGTAGATGGGGTCAAATATTGGATGTTGATGTTGTTGTGATTGACGAGAGCTGGATTTGAAGATGTACTTGTGTTCCGGTCGTAGCTGCCTTTTTTTCATGGTAGCCTTAGATTTATAAAGATCTGTTTATGTACATTTTGAACAGATGTTGTATTTATTTTATACCACCTTTGTATATTCTAATCTTAGAAGCTCATGGCTTGTACTACCAGTCCTTGGGGAGTGTATTAGATTTAGTTAAATATTAATTGAATTGGATAATTGTTAATTGGCTTACTTGACGGGTTGGGTTAGGTGCCATCACGACTAGGTGGATTTTGGGTTGTGACATATGGTAAGAATCTTAGGCGGAGAAGTAATAGAATTTCAAATTAACGGCTAGGATTAGTTTCAAATAAATGAGTTGCGAGGGCTAAGATTTTTCCCCGTCAGCTGAAGGTTGTTATAACTAACCCTCAGCAGAATTTGGAAGGCATCGAATCCAAGGTTATTCGTCTTTCCTCTCACATGTTCTCATTTGATTTCTGCTTCTTCTCTTTCCTTCAATCTCTGATTCTTCTCTTCTTTTATTTCTGCAGATCTCAGTTGATTATGAGAGCTTATTAGTCGTAATTAGTTGTTCATTTGGTTTGTTTGTAATTCGTTTCTTTTCTATTTATATATAAAACAGAAAATTATCCCAAAATCTTCTTCTATTTCGCAATTTGGTTGATTAATTTCTTAGATCCTTAGCTGGATCATTATATTTGGTATCAGAGCTTCAATCCTGTGACTGTGTGGTGGTAATGGTTGAAGGAACTAGGCTGAAAGTTATGGATAATAAGCTCGTGAGACACGATGAGGTTCTAAATGAAGTGTTGTCCACTCAGGAGGAATTGCGCAACACACAGACTAGAATACAAGGGACACTAGAGCTAATTCTAGACAGGTTGACAAATTTAGAAAGAGCTCCTCAGCGAGCTCAGGGTGATAGGGCTCAAGGAGATGAACTATTACCCCTCCCAGGTCAGGAGTTGAGACAGAATAGGCCCCGAGGTATGCAAGCTCCTCCCCCCAAATGGGAGTTGCCTAATTTTGAGGGTCATGAACCTAAGGTATGGCTTCGTAAGTGTGAAGGGTATTTTAATCTGTATAGGACCCTAGATAACCAAAAAGTTGAAGTTGCTGCACTCTATCTAAATAGACTAGCTGACACTTGGTACCACTCATTAGTATTGAGCAGAGGTGAAGTGAGCTGGACTGAATTCAAATAAGAACTACTTATTCGATTTGGAGAAGAGCTGATGGACGGCACAGTTGAAAATTTTAACAAGATGAGTCAAGTAGGTTATGTTGATGACTTCCTAGGCAAGTTTGAGGGCTTGAAGGCCCAAATGCTGGTAAGGAATCCTCACTTGGATGAGTCACACTTTATATCCAGTTTCATAGGTGCTTTAAAGGAAGAAATCATGTTTGGTGTGAAATTGTTCAAGCCTACAACTCTGAGATTTGTTGTGGAACAAATTAGGCTGCAGGAGAAGGCTATAGAAGCTTCTCAAAAGAAGAACAAGGGCATCACAAAGCCCTCCTTTATAGCTGGAAGTTCTATTAACCAAAAGGCTTCTGTTGCAGCTGCACTCAAACCAAACTCCTTCAAACTTAGCCCTGAAGTCTATGAGTACAAGAAGAGCAATTATTTGTGTTTTAGATGTGGTGAAAAGTATACACCAGGCCATCAGTGCAAGAAGAAGAAATTGAACTGCATAATGGGAGAAGTAGAGCCACTTCCTAAGTGTTCTGAGGCAGTAGAGGATCATCCATGTGCAGTCTTGATCATTGAAGGAGAGATACAACAAGAAGTCATGGAAGTTGTGTGCATGAATGCTCTATCAGGTGACAACAGAGGAGTCAATACCATATTGTTCAAAGGTACTATAAGGAACATGAAACTAACAGTGCTAATTGATTCTGGTAGCACTCATAGTTTCATTGATGTTAACACAGTCAAAGAGACAGGTTACCAGGCTAGTCATTGCCTACCAGTGAGATTAACAGTAGCTAATGAAAACTATGTCATGTGCACCTCTCATTGCACAAGATTTCAGTGGAAGATGCAAGGTAGACCCTTCCAGGAAGACTTACTCTAGGAGGCTGTGACATGGTGATGGGTAATGATGGGATGAAGAAGCATAATCCCACTAAGTTAGATCATGAAAAGATGTGTGTTACCATTAGCAAGAAGGGAAATAAACTAGTATTGCAGGGCATTTCTGAGGAAGGCAAACTGAACATGATTTCAAGTGGAACAATGGGAAAGATGTTGAAGAAAGGCCAAGCTCTGATAGCTCATTTGTTCATGATGAGCTCATTGGTGGAAGAAGATTATGAACCAGTAGAAGAGGCAATTCAGGAGGTGTTACATTTGTATCCTGATGTGTTTGCAGAACCTAAATCTCTGCCCCCGTCAGGACCCTAGACCACACCATTACCTTGAAGCCTGGAGCCATACCAGTCAGCTTGAGGCCTTACAGATACAATTATTATCAGAAGGATGAGTTAGAAAGACAAGTAAAGAGATGCTCACCAATGGCATAATTCAGCATAGTCAATCACCCTTTTCATCACCAGCTCTACTTGTCAAAAAGAAGGATGGAACCTGGAGGTTTTGTGTAGACTATAGAGGTCTGAATGACATCACAGTAAAGGACAAGTATCCTATACCTATTGTGGGTGACCTCTTAGATGAGCTGTGTGGATCTATGATTTTTTTCCAATGTGGATTTGAGAGCTGATTATCATCAGATCAGAATGAAGGTAGAAAATAATTACAAGACAACTTTCAGAACTCATTTAGACCATTATGAATTCAGAATCATGCCATTTGGGTTAACAAATGCACCAACTACCTTCCAAGTTTTGATGAACCAGGTTTTTCAGCCTTTCCTTAGAAAGTTTGTTTTAGTATTCTTTGATGATATCCTTATCTACAGTCAATCTGAGAAAGAGCATGTGACTCACTTAGTTGTTGTATTTGACACTCTGAAGAAACGCTCCTTATTTTCTAAAAGGTCTAAATGCTCATTTGGTCAATCTAAGGTTGAGTATTTAGGTCACATAATAACTGCAGAAGAAGTGTCTATTGATCCTACTAAAATACAAGTTATGGTCGATTGGCCTAGGCCAAACTCTTTTGAGAGCACTGAGAAGATTTTTGGGATTGACCGGGTATTATAGAAAGTATGTTGCTAATTATGGAGTCATTTGTAGAACTCTGACTGATTTACTCAAAAAATGTGCTTTTAAATGGAATGAAGAAGCTGACTTAGCTTTTGTAGCCCTCAAGAAAGCTATGTCTTTTACCCAGTGGTGGCCTTATCTGATTATACTAATGAATTCATAGTGAAAACAAATGCTAGTCAAAATGCCATTGGTTGTATTGATGCAAGAAGGAAGACCAGTAGCTTATTTCACCAAGGTTTTGGCTTAGAAGCATAGACGTATGTCAATCTATGAGAAAGAGTATATGGCTTTTCTGAATGCAGTGGACAAGTGGAGGCACTATTTACATTACAAGCATTTTGTGGTCAGGACTGACCCGCACAACTTAAAATACCTTCTTGGACAAAAGGTTACTTCTGCCATACAGCAGAAAGGACTAACCCAAATTACTTGGACTGGACTATGAAGTGTTGTATAAGAGAGGGGCTGAAAATAGGGTAGTTGATGCCCTTTCTAGACATCATGAAGAATCAGAAGGCAACACAAGCCAATTCCAAGGGAAACTACAGGCAATTAGTGTCTCAGTTCCTTCTTAGATGCAGGAGATAGCACCCAGTTATGAAGAAGACACTCAAGCTGCAGAATTGATCAGTCAGGAATCAGTGAACATACAAGGACCTAGCATCTGACATTACTCTTCTAGCATACTTAAAAGGAAAGGCAAAATCTACATTGGGACTACTGGTGGCTTCAGAACTCATCTATCTCTATATTTCATGATTCTCCTCTAGGTGGACACTTAAGACAACTGGGAACTCTAAAGAGGTTGTCATAGATGTTCTATTGGCCTAAGATGAAACAGATGGTCAATGACTTTGTGGTTGGCTGTGATATTTGTCTTAGGAGCAAGGATGACAATATGGCCTATCCTGGTCTTTTGCAGCCTCTCCTTATTCCAAATCAAGCATGGAGCCACATCATAGAAGGTCTGCCCAAATCCAAGAACAAGGAGGTGATACTTGTGGTAGTTGATAGGATGACAAAATATGCTCATTTCATAGTTCTTCGCATCCTTATACCGCAACAACAGTGGTTGATGTGTTCTGGAAGAAAATACACTGCTTGCATAGCACTCTTGAATCAATAGTAACTAACAAAGACATGGTGTTTTAAAGCAATTTTTGGCAATTCTTATTCAAGCTTCTGGGAACTCAATTACATTATAGTACAGCCTACCACCCTAAGAGTGATGGTCAAACTGAAAGAATAAATAAGTGCTTGAAAAATTACCTCAGGTGCATGACTGCTAGTCGACCAACACAATAGAAGCAATGACTTACTGCTGCTGAGTGGTGGTACAACACCAACTTCCACACCAGCCTGCAGTGTATTCCCTTTGAGGCTTTGTATGGTTACTCACCCTCTCAGTTATCCCTTGGGCCTATACTAGAAATAAGGGTGCAAGAAGCTGAAGATATAGTAATGAGAAGGCAACAAATGCAACAACTGTTAAAGGACAATTTAACTAGGCTCAGGAGTAGAATGAAATACTATGCTAATAAGAGGAGATCTGATAGAGAATTCCAACTGGGGGATATGGTCTATTTAAAACTACAACCATATAGGCAGACTTCCATTGCATTGAGGAGAAACTTAAAGCTGAGTTTTAAATACCATGGACCTATAAAGTTCGGGCTAGAATTGGTAGTGTGGCTTACAAATTGGATTTACCTCCTGAATCTAAGGTCTACCCTGTGTTTCATGTCTCTCTACTCAAGAAAAAGGTAGGTGATAGAGTGGTGGTGCAGACAACTTTGCTTATCACTAGTGATGATGGTCAGTTCTTGGTGAAACCAGTTGCTATTCTACAAAGGCAACTGATCAAGAGGAATAATGCTGACGTAGTTAGAGTACTGGTACAATGGTCGAATCTACCTCCAGAAGATGCTACTTGGGAGGATTATCAGTTTCTCAAAGCCAAATTTCCAGATTTCTACTGTAATCCTTGAGGACAAGAATCCTTTGAAGAGGTGGGGTATGCAATGATCTAGTATTAATCAAAGGATTAGTGTTGTCGGCTGGACTCGATTGGAGGAAGCTTAGGCGGAGGAGTAACAGAAAGTGAAGAGGAATAACAGAATTTCAAATTAGCGGTTAGGATTAGTTTCGAATAAATGAGCTGCGAGGGCTAGAATTTTGCCACGTCAGCTGAAGGTTGTTATAACTAACCCTCAGCAGAATTTGGAATGCATCAAATCCAAGGTTATTCTTGTCTCATCTCACACTTTCTCACTCGATTTCTGCTTCTTCTTTCCTTCAATCTCTGATTCTTCTCTTCTTTCATTTCTACAGATCTCAGTCGACTATAAGAGCTTATTAGTCATAGTTAGTCGTTCATTTGGTTTGTTTGTAATTCGTTTCTTTTCCATTTATATATAAAACAGAAAATTGTCCAAAAATCTTCCTCTATTTCGCAATTTGGTTGATTAATTTCTTAGATCCTTAGCTGGATCATTACAATAAAATTAAGAGGTTCCCTTTTAAAAAGACTAACCAATAGTACAATCATATTAGAATTGGAAGTCTTTATGAATTTCTTTTGCCCCATTTCGTTTATCATCTCTTTCCATGCGTTAGTGTTTCAAAAGTTTGATTCTAAGTAAAGAAAATCGAGATACTGCTTGTATCGTTGTAATAATGACTTCTTTTCTCTTGACTAATTTATTTTATGTTATATATATCATACTTTATTTTCGGGGATCGTACGTGTATCAATTCATTCAACTTGTGGTAACAATTTCCCGATTATCCAGCTTTAGTTTACTATTGACTTAAATATGAACAGAAGCTCATTTCACTTCACTGCTCAACTGCCTAGGCAATGTTCACATGTTATACCAGTTGCCTGCCCCATCCGACATTGAATTGTGGTTCTACTTCTAATTCCAAAACTATGATCTTTACTTACTCATAAGCACATTCATGTTTATGATATATTAGATAAGATTTACATATGAACATAACAAGCATCAATCTCTATATACAGTAGTTCTGTAGTCTGAAGAAGTTCAAAATAAGCACTAATGAATGAAGAACAAATCATTGAAGTAATGTCATCGATGCCTGGATTTCCTCAAGTGTCCGTCCCTTAGTCTCCGGTACCAGCATTGCAACGAATACAACGACTGAGCCACAAAAGAATGAAAACAAGAAGAATATTCCTGGAAGTTTTGACACATTAGTAAACAACTGAACCAGTTGAAGGAATTAAAACAGAATTTTAGTACCAAAGGAAGCTTTAGGAAGATATTGAGAGTGGCATTACCTGCTGCATTCCATTGGAATAGGAAATTAAAAGCATAAGAAACTATCCAAGAAGTAAAACAGTTGACCAAGGCAATGAAACTCCCAGCAGAACCCTTGATGTTTATAGTTAGTATCTGAAAAGGAGAGACTTTTGGTTTGTCTAAATCTGTATAACAAATTGTATTTGAATTTGACATCTTAAAATTGGTTTCTTGACGTACCTCTGACATGATAATCCAGGGTGTACCACCCATGCCCATTGTGAAAGATACAGAAAAGAGCTGGTTATAAATGAAAGATTAACAAAATGATGACAGAGTATAGAGGTAATAAACTATGAACACACCAAAATGGAAGTCAACAGTGGAATGAGAATCTAAGGACTTTCACAAACCAGTATGCCAGTGAACACCATCGAAGAGGTTAGCTCTGCCGGTTGATGATAATCCTGTTCATGGTAAAGCAGAATCATCGATATGATGAACATCACAACAACAAAAGTGTGGCAAACAAATTGAAGTATTCGATTTATCACCAAGTTTAGCACCTTTAAAAGAAACCCCAACGCTGAAAGAAAGCATCCTAAGCAAGCCCCAGCTGAAGTAATCTGCAAACAAAAAGGCTTATGCAAATTGTACTTTATGGGCAAAGAGACATGAGCCCACGGTCATCGTTCTAACCATCATAAGCAGTCGCCGTCCAGCTTTTTCGGTAAGGATAATACTCATGGCAGCAAATGGAAGCTGAAAAGAAAAATGATTGTTTGAGTGTCCTTTCTAACAGTCTGTTATAACTGGAGTTTCAAGAGTTGAGAACCTGGAGAACAGCCATGACTCTAGATGCTGAGTCTGCCGAACAACCTTGTAGAATGAGCTTAACTTTTAGATATATGCCTATAAGTCACAAGGCTGGAATTTTCTAGTTCACTTAAAACAGAATTTATTTCTGATTGTTCTTACCTGCCGCTCTAAAAATTGAACTGGCAAAAGAAGATATCCCACTGTTCCCTCCAAACTGTACGAGAGCCATTAACCCCGTTCCAACCTAATGATATTGAAGTATCCAACAGAAATATCAGACATATAAACTAAGCTATAAAGGACACCAACTATGGGTTATGCATAAAGCTTACAATAAGTGGACGTGCATATTTCCTACTGAACAAATCCATAAAGTCAGATCCTGAGAGTTGCCGAACTGTCTTGGTATAGTCCTGTAAACAGAGGAGAGAGATATTAGTCATAGCTGCTCTTTGGTAACTACAATAAAGATTATGAAGTGGACATTATGGAAATAACACAGATAAGATTTTGGAGCAATCTGTTACTCTTATTTCAGCTGCTTCAGTAGAAATATCTGCATTTCCCCCCCTCAGACGCTGTAGTGATGCTTCTACCTCCTCCTCCAGACCAATTTTAGACTGTCAATAGAACATCAGATATCTTTAACCGGAGGAGCTCGATAGCTTAAAATCAAATATAAAAACAGCTCTTCCTGAGAAAATTTAAAAAGTAACAGCAAGGATAAAGAAGACGAAACATAGATGCTTCACTTTGTGGAAGTACATATCCAATAACATTAGTATTAATCCAATACTTGAGATAAAATGATTGCAGATTCTATATCCTTAATATGTCTTTTCGAAATAGTTGGAGCACAATGATCAGTTAATGCCACCTAATTATTCTTTGTAAATAATTAACTCACCAACCACCTAGGAGATTCTGGTATGAAGAATACACCTAGCACTTGTATAAAGCAAGGGCTAGCACCTGAAAGGTCAACCGACTTCAAGAAATTAAGATGGAAACCTCTATATAATCAGGCATCTTCCTTTTGAAATTCTTTTTTTCCATAACTGTTCTATGCATTGCGCCATTACCTACTAGAGCTAAAGTGCGCCAGTTCATGTTATTCCCAATGTAATACGCCAGCGAAAACCCAAGAGTCAGCGTAAACTGCAAAATATCAATACTTATATATAGAGAAGTTGAGTTGTACCCACCAATCAAAATCAACAAATATTTTCATTTACTGAAGCAGCTGCTGCAAAGCACCCTCGGATATTTTTTGGTGTGACCTCTGAAATGTATATAGGTGCCTGTTTGCAGTTTAATTCAGGTCATATTATGTATGCATTAGACTTTTTTTGGTCCAAGGGAGGGGAAAAGTTCTCAGAAAATATTTAAAAAGTTACTATACCACATATAACTGAATTCCTGAACCAACTCCCATCAGCAACCGTCCAGCATCAAGCCACCAAGCTCTCTTTTGACAGGCAGGCACAATCAAACATGTAAGTTGAACCAGAATAAGGAAAAGGCTATCAGGGAGTCAGAGAAAGAAAGACCCCCTCTCTCTCTCTCACACACACACGCGCACACACACAGAGAAAGAGAGAGAAAGAGACTAGTGTCTTTGAAGTAAAAGATGATCTTTCTGCCAAAAAGATGATCTTTCTGTACCTTGCCAAAGATTATTGAGCACCAGCCCAAGATAAAAAATAGATCCAAAAGCCACATTGTCTGTATTAATTACAACCAATTAGAAACTCAAAAAGTTGATTCAGGTTCAATAATCTTTTAATAAGTAGAAATTCAATAAACTTAGTAAAGGAAAAGAGATATACAACTCTCCTGCCAAAAATATCAGCCACCTTTCCACTTATGAGAGCCCCAATCATTCCTCCAAATGTCATGATTGAAGCAAAAACTGAATACTACACAAAAACACGTCAGAAAAAGAATAAATTAGACAATGGAAAGAGAAATATTCAATATTTTGTTTATCCAATTTATTCTGATCTTATTGAGGAGGAAAAAGTTTATCCTGATGAAAAATGCATTTCATTTGACTTGCATTACAGACGCCTAATTTCTAAGTGTGTTTATGGTGGAAGAAAACATCCTTTGACAAAGGTTAGTAGCTAAATGGACATCTTGGTTAAAGAAAACATGGCACATAAATGAAAAAAGAACACCTAGGTAAGCAACTTGATTAACTGAGAGAGATCATGTCAATATTGATACTGACAGTAGAGTCTAACTCTCGAAGACATCTAAGTTCCTCCAAGGGAGTTTTGTTCTTGCCCTTGCATTCACTTAGCTACAAAACTATTAAGAACCTAATTAGTACGTTTTGTGAACAAAACATATCTTATCCTCTTCATTTGGAATAATAAAATCTTTTACTCCTAACAAACAATTCTCATAATTGCTTTATAAGAGAAAAACTCAATTTCTGTATGAATACTGATGCACTGCCAGTATATTTCGTAGTCATGGCAAATGTTATGTAAGTAAACAGCAATGCTGAATCACTAGCAATTTTCTACATCTAACAATTAATAAAACTCTTTAATTTATCAAAAAGGAAAAGAATAATGCGTTGCTAGTGGGAGGTAGCAGGTATCCCGTGGAATTAGTCGAGGTGCGCGCAAGCTGGCCCGGACACCACAGTTATCGCAAAATAAAAATATGAGCTTTTATAAACCCTAAATAAATTCAATGTTCACGATTACATGTAACCGGCTGTGAGATCAAGCAGAAGCCATTCAGTGTCTTCTAGCACTTCATTTCCCTGTTTTGCAGTTGAATTACTGGATCTAAAACTTTTTAATGATCTCAGAACAGAACGAGAAAAGCTGATCAGGTCAGCGTGAGAGCTCTTATACCACTTTTACACACAGGAAAAGAATTTGTAAAAAATTTACCTCTGCTATAGAGAGTCCCAGGTCATCCATGATCCCTGATTGAGCAGGAGATGCATATCCAACCTGCAAAGGACACACAGTCGGCAAGCAATCAGTGGCAGCCCTTTAGCATGACTTCCTTCGGTCACTAGAGATTACACTAGTAAAATCTCAAGTATGCACATCTCAGAAATTTGTTATGGTGCTTAAGAACATTTGCATCTCTCCTACCATTAAATTTTAAATACACTCCAGAGGAAACTAACTTTTACGCATGGATATGAGGAAATAAAACATGTCTCCAAGACTCTTGACCTAACGAGGAAACAAATCTATGCGTTTTTTACTCCTGTGGCGCTAGGACACAGTAGGAAGACCAACAGATATATATTTCAAAAACATATGCTGGACAAAATGATGCTTAATTCAGTCTTATCCAAAGATGAATATTTGTGCCTCCATTATCCCCTTAATAAATGAATTAACAAACCTCTAAATCCCACGTATTCCTCGTACCTTTACAAGTAATACTTACAGCAAATCCATAGGCAAAGTAACCACAGGCAGCAACTGAGGAGCTCAAAACAACATTCGCAGTAACATGGGATTCCCAACTTGCTTTTCTGGGACTGCTCCTATCTAGTAAACCTTCATCCATGCTTTCAGTAATATTATGTTGCTACCTGGAAAAGAAAAAACAGAAGAGACCGTTACGCATGAAATTAGAAGTTTAGAAGAGTGGGAATGTATCCAATACTTCATGATAGAGCAGTAAAACATATTCTGGTGCTAGTTTGAAGCAGTTGCTATTAGTCTAAGCAAACATTTGGAATGAAGCCTAAAAGGAACATGATATAACTAGTTGGGATTGTGCTTAGTCATGATGGTTAGCTTACATTAGGGTCAGTGTTTGCTAGGAGGCTGTTTAATCTGTTTAGAGATGCGTATATCAACAAGGAATTGTAGAGAACTCTTATCTGTTAAGGAACTCCAAGTAATGAATGTTGGAGTATGAAATCGGGTAAATGGAGAGAGATTATTTATATGGCTGACCTCAACTAGTTTGAATTGATGTGTGATAATTGTTGTTGATCATTTGCTTAAGAAAACAAAGTGAGAAACACTTGCTGCCACGGTAATTAGGCCAATGTAAAATTCAGTTGTGCATTAAATAAAAGTCGTCAAGTTCTGGGGGATCCGGATCTATTCTGCCATAAAATTAAAGTCAAGTAAAAGGAGTATGGAGCTTATTCATACAGGTGGTTCCACTATAACACAATAATACTGTATTTTCTTGGAAGTTTCAGTCCACATAAATAACTTTGACATTGTGAAAACTCATAACTCCAAACTAGAAAACTTACAAAAACCTAATTGTATTCAAGTCTGAATAAAAAATAAAATAAAAAAGCACACGAGGGTGTGTTTGGTATGGAGGAAAACAAGCTCAGTAACATAATGAAAATGACTTTCTTGGTGGGAGTAGCGAAAACAAGTAACGTCTATAAATATTTGACTGTAAATACAGTTATTATTATATATTATAGCAGTAGGAACCCATAAACTTCAAACTCTAGATCCGCCTCTACCACCAACACATACTCCTACCAGCACCATAGTGTTTGCATAGATTATATATATAAATGCTATTGGGATAATATTTTCTGCAGACTAACCAAACACCAGAAAATAAGCAAGAAAAACATTTTCCTTCTCACCGAACACACCCAAAATCTTTCATGTTAAGAAATTAAGGAAAAAAATACAAGGTAGATTAAAAGAAATAAGATGGAGTAGTACAAGTTGATCCTAGAATAGCAAATAGAAAGCAGCATGGGTTTCTTAAATAAGCATGCGACATATGCTTAAAATATAGAAAAAACAGTTATCATCGTTTCTCTTTACCTCATTATTACTATACATATTGACAAATAAAAGAGGAACTGCATAAATATTGTAAAACCCAGTAAAGCAAAGAAATTTTGAAGAGTAAGCAGAGCAAACCTGGTTGAAGGTTTAAGATCTTGTTAACCGATCCAATGAACTCCAGCAGAAAAAGCAGGTTTGGTGAAAGGCCAACGGAAGTGTCAAATTGACTATAGCATTTGCAGAGAGAAATACTAGAAAACTAAAGAATATTTGATGCGCCATTCTCACTTTAATAAAACTCATCATGGATATAAATAAAATAAGATAAATAACCCCTCATTAAAAAATCACTGTTTTTCGGATGACAATTAGTAATTGAAAATGACGACCAATCCACGACCAATTCTTTTACGTTTGTTTTGGTTTTCATATTATTAAAGTACGGCGCCTTCTTTTAAGCGAGATACCGCGCAATTATATGAGATTACATGTTGTGCACTTATTATGATTCATGAGCTGCTCTCTTACGTTAATTAGTTTTCCAATTGTTCACTTCATTTGGAAGAAAGTTGTTGCTTTATTAAAATCTTAACGACACTATCGTTTGTTTAATTCCGTTATTCTAACTTCTAAGAGCACTTAAACTGTCGACTAATTTTTCGTCGAAAAATCTAGTTTTCTTTATTTACACAATTATAACTATATAATTTAATTGCCAAATTTTTACATTTTATTATTTCAAAGTTATTTCAAGATACTGTGAAATAAATCAAAATACTTATTACCTTTACCCTTGAAAATAAAAAGACACATATAATCTTTTGTTGACAACTTAAATAAATAATTGGGGACCACCAACACTAAAAATGTTGTTAGTTGGAATTTCATTTTTATTCTAAGAAAGCTGGGGATATCTTGTGGCTGGTGACTCACCTCTTGTCTTTTTCCTTTGTTTTTTCAATGATTGATACCACAGACGTAACATAGTTTGGTATCTTATGTTTGTTGGTGAATTTATACTTCAGTACTTAGTAGATAACAGCAGTCCCATTGAAAGAGACTTCAATAGATTCCTGAACAGGAATTATTCCATATTAATTAGGAGTATATCTTTTACATTTTATTGAATAATTACTTATAGAAAGTATACGAACTTAGGCATTGGCAAGCAACAGTTTTGAGATAAAAACCACTTGATAATTAAAAGCTTAGCTATTAGGCTAATTCGTATCTTGTCCAACTGGCCTCTCAGTAAGTTGGTATTTAAAGTATCACAACATCTACAGACTACAGTGGGAGTTAAAATGAGAAATGTATTGAATAATGTGCCAAGAGTCAAACCCGTTCAATTCACAAGAACTTTTCCATTTGTTGTCTTCAATCTCAACCGATAAAATTGAGTTGTTAAAAGTAATTTGTTATATATAAAGTAAATTTATATCATCCATTTGAAACTATTTTTCTATGTATTTTATATATTTTTTACTACTCGTTTATGTGTGAGTTTTTTACTAAGTAATATAATCCAATTATATTTGTATGTGTAAGAGTAAAATTGTTGACCCTTAAATTATTATCCCATATAAGGTTGGGCAAATTATGCATTTATGGGTCAAAATTCAAATTACACCGAATTATAAATCAAGAATTCTTCAGAGCCTCCTATTTTAGACTTGAAAATTATTTATCATATCATTATATTCGGTGGCGGCTTGCTACACAAATCATAAAATGTGGAAGAACTAATCCTTTTTCTTGAAAAGAAAATCAACATCAGTTAAGCAATGTCATGGATGCCTGAATTTCCTCAAGTGTCCGACCTTTCGTCTCTGGTACTATCTTTGCAACAAATGGAATCATCAACCCGGAAAATATTGTGAATATGAAAAATACACCTAGTAAAATACAAAACTATCAGACCTTGACCAAAAAAAAACATGAAAACACAACGGCGTTCGAGCACTTCTAGAGATGCATACCTGAAGGACTCCGTTCAAATAAGAAGTTAAAAGCATATGTGACAATCCAAGAAGTAAACCAGTTGCATACAATTGCAAGACTTCCAGCTGATCCCTTTATGTTCATAGGAAATATCTGATATGGAAATGAGTTAATGACTATAGTCAGTAGCTATTGTACTTGAAAAGGTATAAGTTGTGTAATGTGCATATGGAGGAATATTGCTAATATATAGCTGACCTCTGAAATAATTGTCATAGCTGCACCACCCACACCCATTGAGTAAAATATACTGAATACCTGTTAACATATGGATTAGCAATTCATGAATCATTTCTTTTCTCGACATGCTCTTGTATAGTTGTAATCAAGATTTACTGGACAGTTTGAGCTACAAATTGGTAAATTAGAAGAAAATGAAGGTTTTCACATAATGACAACATGTGTAGCAAATTAAAGGGATGAAGAATTGATTCAGTTACTGTAGAAAAGAGTGTGAAGCACAAACCAGTATGCCAGTTACCACCAATGTGGCAGAAAGCTGCTTCATTTGATCATAATCCTGCTTGGAATAATGTGGAAAGTGATAAGTCTAGAAAGTGAAATTATAGTCATTTTTCATTTTATAGAAGGTTGGAGGGGAGCGTGTGTTGAGTACCTTACACAAAAAGCCTACACCTACAAGAAAGTTTCCTAAGCATGTCCCAGCCGAAGCAACCTGAAACCAGTTCATTTTGCTTCAATATCGATTCACAATTGATCATTAAAGTAAACACATTAGTAGAGATACTAATTTCTAACCATCAGAACTGGCCGTCTTCCAGTAGCATCTAGTAATAATATGCCTGTAGCAGCAAATGGAAGCTGAAAGAGAAGTATGAATAGATAATAATTTGAGATAATTTTTTAGCAACAGTTCTGCATCACATTGTGATTTCAGGAGTCAAAACCTGGATAAGTCCCATTGTTGCAGTTGCAAAACTAACCGAGGAACCTATACAAAAGCAATAATCTCTTTATTTCTGCCAAATACTATAGAAGTATAGTTCATTTTACAAACAGTCTATGAGGTGCTAAGTGCTAACCAGCTTTTTTGAAAATTGAACTAGCGAAAGATGCAATGGCATCAGTTCCTCCAGACTGCAACAAAATCACTACTCCGAATCCAACCTAGTTAAATCAACAAAGCAAGAGGAAGCTCAATAAACGATAATAATGACAAATATAATATTATAAGATAAGTGTGTATCTATGTACTTATGTATTTATATTTATATTAAAGCTTACAATGAGTGAATGAGCATATTTACGATTGAACATATCCAGATATCTTGATCCTGAGAGCTTCTGAAGGGACTCCACATTGTCCTGTGAAGAAAGTACATTTCAATTACGCAACATAACAGATGGAAGACAGTAATCAGGAAAGAGAATAAGCTCATTGTAAACATTAAGCTAACAGTAACACATTCAGAAGCTAGTCTCACCTTAATTTCAGCTGCTTCTGAAGAAATATCAACATTTTTTCCTCTCAGATACTTTAGAGATGCTTCTACTTCTTTGTCCAGGCCAATCGTGGCCTGCAAACAATTCAATCAGTGAATAAGGAAATTGATCCAACTATGCCAGAAACACACTACATAAAAATAAAATAAAAAAACCACCCCCTTTCTTCCAATAAAAGGGGAAAACGGAAGGAATATGAAAAACTTTGCCTTTTTGGACAGGGAACACTCCACTATATATCTTTGTTTGAAGTTCATACTCCACTCACCAACCATCTCGGAGACTCTGGTATGAAAAATATGCCTAGTAACTGCACCAAAGAGGGTATAATTCCTGAAAAAGGAATTGCAAAGACAGTAAATCAGTTCTTCTACTACGCACAATATGTAGTCTTATCTTCTCTGCAGCCCCTTCTCTCTTTGTGCCTGGCTGTGTATACATGATTATAGAGAAGTAACATTAAATATAGTTAGCACTCTACCTACTATAGCCAAGGGACGCCAAGTTAGGATATTCCCGATTAGAAACATCACTGAAATGCCAAAATATGCCATGAACTGCAAAAGCACAGCAGTTTTAAATATGCAAGATTTGAACAGTTTTAAGTCACAGAAAACAATGGTTTCTCATTTACCGTGATGGCAGCTGTGCATGCCCCTCGAATACTTTGTGGAGAGATTTCTGCAATGTATATAGGAGCCTGCACCATGATGGAAATCTGCTTTTAATATGTTTTACACAGGAAGAAAACTGAAAAATGCTTTGTAATTTAGCTATTTACCACATAAAGGAAAACTCCCGCTCCAATTCCCATTAGAAATCTTCCAACATCAAGCCACCAGGCACTCTTGTAATAAAAGAACACATCAGTGAGTTGAACTCATAACACAGAAACGAACCCCCTACTCCAGATAATTAAACTGGCATGTTAGTTGAGAGAATTCTCCCCATTTTAGTTGAAATTTTCGTTCTACTTTAGCAATCTTTTTGCCCTCCTATTGAATTTTGAAAATTTTCTTTTTACTTAGTCATCCATATCTTGCTATCAGAAGAGCAGTACTGAATAATCGAGAAAGTTGAAAAAGAATCAAAATACTCTATCTACTGAAGTTAAATTACACTCCGGCTTCCTATATCAACTTTTGCTAGACCACAATCAATTAAATGTATTGTATGAGAAAACACTAACATTGCCAGGGCTTCCTCATATGGTGGTTTAATTATTAGTATGAAAGAGATTAAGATGTATAAAACCAATAGAAATTATTAACATTCAACAGATAAAGATCAGCATGACCATTGGATTACATACCGTTGCGAAGATTATGGAAAGCCATCCTAAGATGAAACAGAGATCCATGATCCACATTGTCTACATTAAGGCATAAAATTAACAGGAAAATTCCTAGAATGTTCAGAAAGTAATAAAGAGTGAGAGACCAGCATTAAAAGAGAAACATACTATTCTTCGCCCAACCATATCCGCAATAGCTCCACTCACTAAGGCACCTATAGTTCCACCAAGTGTCAGAATCGCTCCAAATGCTGAATACTGCAGAAGAAGACCAAACCAAAAAAAGAAAACAATAGCACGAATTTAGAAGCAGAAATTTACAAATGTACTGTTTGTTCAAAAAAGAAGAGATGTATATTAGATATACAAATAAAAGACTTAAGATGATTGCAAACTTAGCATAGCCAAGTTTGTGTTGTACTAAATTGTAATCTGCCATACATCTCAAGTCAGAATTTCCTCGTAGATTGATATCTTATTTCACTAATTATCCGTGTGAAAAATTATCTCATTTTAGTGTCTTTGTAGCACAGTTCCCTCCCAAAGCATATGAGCTAAACTGACAAACTCTTCAACTTCTACCAAAAAGGGTAGAATGGGAAACACAATATGTTCGACTCTACCGCCGGAAGTGCTTGGATGAAACTCTAAAAATGCCAAAGCCTAAGGTATGATATTGCAACACACACAAAAAAAAAAAAAAAAAAAAAAAAAAAAAAAAAAAAAAAAAAAAAAAA